GAGAGAGAGAGAGAGAGAGAGAGGAGAGTCTAGGAGGAGTTGGCCTTCCCAGACACTTGAAGGGCCTCTGAGAAGAAAATATTCACCATAAAATCTGTCCCTGGTTCCTTACTGCCTGGGGATGGCTCGCTCCCTGTCCCAGGTTGCATAAAAACTTGAACAAAGATGCATCCCAGTCCGGTCCGTACACAGGCCTTGAAAACAAAGGCATGAGGCTGAGCCGGGGGAGAAGTTGCAGCCTTTGCCCTCAGTCTCCTGCGCTTCCCACCCACTCCCCAACTCTCTTACTCCAGACGCCCAGTGCCTTCCACCTCCAGACACCAGATGGCCCCCTCTCTTTGCCTTTCCCCTACAGACCATTTGGACCCCTCCCTGTGCCTGCCCTACAGTTCCCCTCTGCCTGACAGGGCCAGCCTTCCCTGTAACCCTCAGGGGCCACTTCTAATTTGTCTGGGCTCTGCCTTTCTTCCTGCTGAGATTCTCAGTCCTCTCTCATTCTCTCCAACTTTCCACGCACCCACTGGCCTACCCTGCCTCCACCCTGCATCCCTGCTGAGCACTGGCCTGCCTCCTGCCCCACGCCCACAGGAGGCACCTTCCTGGGCATTGCCCTTTTCCCCCCTTCCAGCCCCTGCCGCCAGATGGCGTCCTCACTCTGCCTTGTCTGTGGCCCAGCCAGTCTGGGAAATTCCATAGTCTCCAAAAGGAAGGATCCGGAAGCAGGGCTAGCTCCTTTGGCTTCCAGTCTTCTGGTCCAGCCAACCTGTCTCTTTCCAACCATTACTTCCCACCCCAGTGCCTGCCTGCACTTTCGGCCTCCCGGGCAGGCCTCTAACCTCATGTTTCCTCTCCCTGGTCTCTCTCCCCTTTGATTTCTGTACCATCTTTGCATCTGCTCACCCACTGCCATTTTCTTCTTGGATTTTTCTAGTTTGGGCAAATGGAGTTTATACTGCTGCATGTTTTTTCTAGAGTGACAGCTAGGGCCCCTCTGCACTCTGACTGATGCCTTCTCCCAACTCTGGGCCTGGGCACTGTGTCTGCCGCTTCCTGCAGGGTTTTGAATGGCCAGAGAGCCCAGGCATCCTGCGGTCACAGCTCGCAGCTGTAGCAACAGCTCTGTTCCCTGTGCAGTGGTCCATGGAGAAAGGGCTATCACAGCCTTACCCTCCTGTGGCTTCAGGCAGCCATGAGGGTCTATCTCACTGCAGCAGAGAGCAGGCCAGCTAGCTGGGAGACAGTCTGCACAGGGCCTCAGGTGGCTGTGACTGGGAGGAGCTGGCTCTGCTGATGATTCAGGAAGGCTGAAGGCAGGCTGTTTAGGGGTAGTGGGCAGTGCCACCCCCTACTCCCATGAATGTGGATAGACTCCAGTGGACAGCCCCTCCTGGGTGCTTCCTAGTCCAGTTACCCTTGGCAGCAGAATGCAGGCTGTCTCAGCACCTGGCTGAAACCATTCTGCTTATGTTCTGTTCTCCAAGCCCTGTGGATTGCCAGCAGGCAGAGGAGCTATGATCCCAAGGGCTGAGATTGCTCCCAGAATGGACCTTTCCATCCGTTTATTTCTTCGGCGCAGGAGCCCTGGCTTCAGCAGTATTCTGGCTCCTCCCCACAGTCCTGCTGTTCCGTAGGGGGCGGAGCAGGCTTTGGCATTGGCATTGACATTGGTGTGGAGGTCCACAGAGGAGTTAAAATGCAGTTCCTGGGGGACGGCGGGAAGATCACCCAACCGTGGAAGAGGAAAACCCCACTGTCACGGAGACACCCAGGGCTAGGAGGCCAGCTTCTGTAGGAACATTCTGTGCGGTGTGGATTAGTGGCCCTGTGCCCTTACCCTCTTGGGGCTTCACTGGCCTCTGTAGATCCGAAAGCCTCAGTGTAAGCTGTGGGTATTTTCTCTTAGGTACAGATGGGCATCAGCTCTGTGGATCATTACAGTCACCATGTGTCAGACCCACTGGCTGCACTTGTGAAAGAGGAACACAGTTGTGGACATGTGGCCTCATGACCCCGGGCCAGAGATGGGGCTAGATCTTAGACTCAGTTCTTCTGACCCTGGTCTGGGTCCTGTTTCTTCTACCACAACTGCTGTGGAACTCAACCATGCCACTATTGCCCTCCAGCTACTTAAGCCCCCAGGAAAGGTAACACATTAAGCCCATGTATATTAGAATCACCTGGGGAGCTTAAAAAAAAAAAGATACCAGCAAACAGCGACTGGCCTCACTCCCAGACAATCAAATCAGAATCGAGTGCTGACTCCCTTAATGGGAATCCCCAAGACTTGGGGTGGGAGGTGGGGAACTTCCAGGGGTCTCCAGTTGGACCCCCACCTGGGAATGCTCCCCAGTCCTGTCAGGATGCTCGTGGGTCTTTGGACTGCCCTCCCCCCCCATGACTGCTCGCGGCAGGAAACAGCTAGCATGCATGGCTTCATAGGACAGAGCAGAAGACTGGAAATGTACTTGTGAGTTTCTGGTTCCTTCTGGGGAGAAGTTGTTGGGGGTGCTGTGAGGGGCCAGTGTAGGTGTGAGGGAGAGATCAAGAGATGCCAGAGTCTGGAGGATTGGAGTGTGACAGGGGAGTCAAGGCCGGGGCCGGCGGGGAGCTGCATGAGCCATTGCTCCAGAGTGACCACAGGTCTG